GTTTATAACATCTTGCATCTTTTCATCATCAACTACAAGTACCACCATCTAGTAAACACTACAAGAACTAAACGAGAGGTGGCTACATACAGGAGACGGTACCGCCATCTAGTGAACACTGCAAGAACTAAACTAGAAGTGGCTACATACAGGCTACAGGGGACGCACAGCCCACGCCCTAAGGAGCTTCGCCCCTAAAAGGAAGGATATATTTGTAGAAATGTATTTGTTTTGCCAAAACTCCTCGAATTGCCGTGGAAGAAGTGCGGTATTTCAACGGTAAGCGTGTATCATTTATTGGGGGGAAATGGGATAGGAGACTTGTTATCAGCCTATGCGCAATAATCTATGATGAGGCGCAACGTGACTGCCAACAACACAAGGTGTGTATGCACGTTCGGTGAAACGAAAGTGGTTGCCGACGTCGCCACGCATAAAACGTAGCTCTACGTGTCTGTTGCGATGCATCTACCCATGCGCAATATCGGACCCGAGCAGCGGCCAAACGCTTTGCGTTGCCCCGTAGGACACAGGTGTCTCGCGCGCACTATAAACCAGTGGACTGCACTATACGCATGGTTCATCCCGCGTGCAAATATTGTTGATTGATGGATATGTGAAATTTAACGCCCCAAAACCACCATGTAATTATGAAACACGCTGTAGTGGAGGGCTCCGGAAATTTCACCACCTGGGGTTCTTTAACGTGCACCCTAATCTGAGCGCATGGGCCTACAGTATTTTTGCTTCCACGAAAACGCAACTGCCGCAGCCGGGATTCGATGCCACGACTTGCGATTCAGCAGCCGAGTAACTTAGCCACTAGACCACCGGGGTGGGGCGCATGCAAATATTGTAGTCTAAGATTTGCTGCTTTTGCTAAATGAATGTTGCTGGTCAAATACATCAAGCTTAAGTGCCTAGCAAGAGCCGATAACAAAAAGGTAAATTGCCTACCTTGTTCTCAAGAGGCTGCTCCGTGTCGAAGTAGAAACTTGCCGTCTGCCACTTTTCTTTGTTACTTGCTGTTTCTCACTGCTGCACTTGTCTGAGCTATGCACGCGACTGATGCGCACGTACCTGTTACTACTACACGTGATTTCACCGGGAAAAATTCGATGTTCTCCAGCAACGCGGTCTGTTTCAACGGGCATGAGAATCGAAGAAATGCCACGAGTGGACACTGTGAAGGAGTGATAGTGCGAATCTGTCAAACTGTGCTTCGAATCCTGCTGCAGATGCTATCTGCTTTCACCGTGGCGATTATTGCTCCGCAACCAGTGGCACGAGTGTGGGCTGTCTCACCGTCAACGCATATCACGGGCTTCAGCAAAATATGACTTCCCGCACCTGCTTGTGATAACGTCATATGTCCGACGGCGTATCCTCGGTCCAACGTAATCATTTGTCACTAAAGATTCTTTGCGTTTTGTTCTGAGAAACTCACCGTTTTCACATAGCAAGTTTCAGAAAATTTCTTTGAACCAACGTGGTTCAACTAAAAAACAAGTTTTGAATTCATCACGTCACAGTGACCTTAAAGGGGCACTGCCACACAATTTCGCAGCCGAGGTAGCCTATGAGAGCAATTCCTGAAAACATGCGTATTTTATCAGAAAATATCAACAGCGAATATAGCACTGGACGAAATTTTTATTTAACTTAGAAATTTGCGCTATTGACAGCCTCAAATTGGATCCTCGGGCGGCCCCCTACTTCCCTCACGTCACCTCGCTGCAGCCTGTTTGACAACGTCATAGCCGCCATTTTTTCTTTTGTCGCATTTGCTCCAGCCATGGAGGGAGTAAAAATGGCTCCGGCACACTAATACTGGGCAGTTGCTCGCAAGTCTGTGGCTCCGGCGCAAGAGTTGAAAGTTTTGTGTTCGATGACATTGCTGTCCCATTCCCTGTTCGAAAAGAAAAAAAAAACCTTCCTGCTGGGAACCATGTGGAAGTACGTCGAAATTCTGTGCTGACAAGGTCGAGCGTTGCACAGGTCACGCTAGGTGGGGAACGAGCCCGTATATTTTATTCTGTCGCGCGCTGCAGAAAACGTTGTATCTTGTTATGACTAACAGAGCGCCAACAACACAATGCAGCAAAAAAAAAAACGAAAGGCCAAAATGCTTTTCTGAGCACCCATTTAAAGCACTACTGTTTCACCACGAAATTCGAAAATGATATCTCGCATTGAAATTTACTTTTTTATCGTTTATGCTGTGATGGGAAAATTAATGTAGCTAGAATTCTGAAAGAATAGTTTCTGCATCTAAGCTGACGAACGTTTCAGTTTAGTGTCGCCTTCTTTTATTGGGGAGCAAACATTATATAACGAGTCACTATGTGCGTGTCTTTGGGTTACCAAATATTTTATCTTGCATGGGGAAACTCACGTAAACTTTATATTAGGCAGTGCAACTGAAACTGAAAACTACATAAAACAGCTTCTTTTTAGGGCAGGGTCTCTAGGTCTCAAACCTACCTGAGCTAACAGGTCGCAGTGGCGAATTTCGTTCCCGCAAGGGCCATGACATTGAAGAAGGTTGAAAGAGGGGTAGGGGAGAGCGAAGGGGTTGACAGATAGGTTGCTTAACACTGCCATTCAAAAAAGAAACAAGGCAATCACCATATATCACATTTGATTCATCCATTCTTAAGGAGATTCGGTGCCTAGATTCGAGCACCATATTGATACTGATATCAAGATAGACGAAAATATGGACACTATTTGATGTGTTTCATGGTTGTGTTTGTACCCCTGATGACGGCATGGGGCACGTTCCACACACACACACACACACACACACGCGCGCGCACACACACACACACACACGCACACGCACACGCACGCGCACACACACACACACACACACACACACACACACACACACACACACACACACACACACACACACACACACACACACAAGGAATCACTGGTAACAGACTCTCTAGCTTACCCGAACATAGCGCTCTTAATCTTAATAGGCGCGCAAATATTGCGAGTGCCATGCGGCCATTCAGAAACATTTTATTCCTTGTGAAGCCGGTATCGTTAATTGTTTGCGGGCTGCTCACGGCCCCTTGGCCACGCGTTTGAGACCACTGCTACGGGGCATCATATGTCAAAACTTTTGCTACATTAAACGCGATAGCAGTCCTGAAGTAGAACGTGAATCGATGCTGTGTGTATAGGATCCGAACTATCACCATCTCCGATCAGTGAATTGTATACAGTTGTATACTATAGCGCTAATATTGATTATTTTTATTGCTGAACTTATAAAGTCATTGATTTAGGTAACATACTTGATTTGGGTCGGCAGAAAATATGCATGATTGGGTACTTACCAGAAAATTTACAGCCACGAAGACACAACTTGCTCTTGGAACTATATTGCATTTCGTGCAGTGATAAGCGCCATCGTGTTCTTATTCCTGCTTTTTTGACGAACAAAATGTTTCACCATTCCTTCCTTCCACTCAACAGCAAACAATAAATCACTATGCTCTCTAACATTTTCGCAATTTCAGTTTTCTATTCTGTCTGTATAGGCGTCCTTAAAAATATCAGTGATTAATTCCACGCAAACCTGAATCGTGTAGTTAATTTTTTTTACATTCTCGATGTTACGTTTTAGTTACGGACACGTTACGGTTCCAGCTTCATGCGGAGATATGCTATTTTTTGCGATTTCTCGTTTGTAACGCGTGTTCACATGCGTTAACGCGATGATAAGCTCCTGGTTTTTGTTTTTTTGGCAATGCTACGTTAGCATTGAGAACACGACAATGAAAGAACGTAGGCACTGATTTCAGTACTACCGTTATTTCAAGCTACCCGCTAATTGCAATGAAGAGAAAAACAGATCTGTAAAGCAAACAAGAAGAGACAGCGCTGTGAATGACGAAGAGCACGTTATCACGCTCGTCTAGAGTAATACAAAGTGGCGTTCATGCGGCGTCTAAACTTAATTAATCTCCCCCTTGCTGACTAACGAAGAGAAAGGCTGGCGCAGTTCGAGGGTAGCTGCAAAGCTGTTGACGGTCACAGGCTTTGTTTCAGGCTGTGAAAGTTGGGAAGGCCAGACATGCCGCGTATAATAAACGTGCATGCACAGATAGTTCCAATATAGACGCGTGGTGAGATTCAATCGCTTGCTCTTGCCAGGCGTCAATTTGCATACAAAAAGCAGGCTCGTCTTCAAACACTGCCGGCTTTCAGTTTGCCATCCTGTTGTGATGTTAATCACTTTGGACAGTACATGGCAACACAGGGAGGCATCCGGTATGCCAGTGCCAGACTTGAGGCAACCTCGGGAACAATGCGACGCCTCAGCTTTGTACAGACAGGTATAACATTTTCTCTCTCCGTGCATACCGCATTGACGGGAATCGAGCACAGCCGCTAACTACTAGAATGTACTGAACATTTAAGGGTGTTCAGATTCGGTATTAGATTATTATCCTTTTACTGAAAAAAAAACTTCAAAACAATTGATCTTGACTTGATTCCCTCTTTGAAAGGTTTGCCTCTAGGCATGACATCTAGCCCACCTAAATACCTTTGTCTAAGAGTCTTCCGGGAGCACAATTCACTGCTTAGATTAATGTTTTATCTCGCTGACAGGTGTTAACCTATCGTGTTATCCCGTGTATGTGTATTATCCTCGTATTTAAGGCAATTTTTCGTGTTTTTTGTTTGCTTGTGGCGGTTTCTTATGAGGAATAACTTGCAATCAAATTGAACAAACAGCTTCATGTTCATACTCCCCGTACGCAGTATAAATCCGCCGCAGCGGCTCAAAAGCCATGCCATTTTGTCTGCTATACAAGCATGAATTCATATATGTTCGATTACCGCTCGCTGCTTCCTTTAAAAGCTTTGTGCACTGCAATGTTGACTTAAAATATATATTAGTCTGTCGTATAATATGTGATAAAATTTTTAAGCTGTCACGGTATTTAGAAATGACCGGACATGAAGAGTCAGAGAAATGGAAGCAAAACAGATATTTATAGTCGTACATACGCTATACGCAACATCTGGGTTGTGTTTACCACATTATCTGTGGGAAGAGTACAGATAAAGGCTGTAATTGAGCCTATCATATATGAAGCAAGCTTACATTTCTACTCCTGGAGTATGCAAGTACAGTATTATAGGTTGTCCGACTAGTTGTGTTACTGAAAGCTTATACACAAGAATGTAGATGCATACAGTGTTTTTCCTGAAGCGACCACCGACTGGCCGTCATATCACTTAAACAGCATATTTATCGTGCGAACTGGGCTTCATGTAAACAGATGGTGTGACCAGCTCATAATAAAACTTGTATTCAACATATTTAATGCCATTTCAGACATTGGCGATGTCATGAAAGGATATCGCCGCAACTACATCGCCCATTTCTGCTAGAATTGTTGAAGAAGTTTTGAGATTCGGTCTCCTAAATTAAAAATGTTTGAGAGGTATTTAAAACAACGTGATGAGTCTCTGAATGAGGAACATTTCAAAATAATATTTGACTCTTATACTAGCGGTGCGCAGATACTGGCTCAGAATTCGCCTTCAACGTTGCTATCATAAACAAATGCATTGCGTTCTCCTCGCCAACAGCTATACACTGTCTTTAAGATTATAAGGCACTCTTGTTGCGGCAGTGGCGTGGCACGCTAAAGCAGTAACTTACGTGAATCGAAGGTGGGTACCTTTCCATTCGTCAAATATATGCCTGATTTCGATTATGCAAATGCGACCTAGTTGGATGTTTACTCTTTTTTTATGTATTGTGCCTACTGCTACAATTTGTTTTGAGTTTTCAAAGGCTTATAATCTTTTTTACACAGAAATTATCACCAGCAGCCTCTGTTTGTCGATAGCTCATTCACTTTGACTTCCCCAGTACCATTATGGTTGCGTAAAAATTTGATACGAAGCCTGTGGTTATGCTCTGTCTGTATGGCCATCGATATTTAAATACTGAACAATACAAGATGGCTGCTCTTGCCACTGGGACGCTATCTCTTCCTCAGCCTCGTCCCTATAGGTATACAGGTTGTCGCTTGCACTAGAAAGCTGCGAAGCTTTCCTTTCGAAGATTCTGAATGGTGCCACAATAATGTACACTGCAGCAGTCCCTGCAGCGCGAAACCCACACGATGTGCGCCGTTTTCGGGCGTTCACCAAGACTTAATGGCTGTGGCCGAGGGAGGCTTGTGGCCCACCATGGCTGGGTACAAAAGGGCTTCTGTTGGCTGGGTGGGCGGCTGCGGCGGTGGCGGGCCCAGGGTCGCGGTGCCGCCAAAATACGGGTGCATAGGATAGGCGGACGGAGTGAACGGCACCGCAGCCGGCTTGCCATCGTGCACCAGCACGGGCACAGCGACGCGGCGCACGGTGGCTGCCGCGACCATCTCCAGGGACTTGTCCTGCTTCTGCCGTTTACACTTGTAGCGCCGGTTCTGGAACCAGATCTTCACCTGCGTCATATAGGCAGCGTGTGTAAACGCATGCAAGCTAAATGTTAGGCGCGAAGAGGTAACCGCTTGCATGTTGAAGAGTTTGAAGAAACAGATTTTAATGGAAAGGAAAAATAGCACGGGTTTTCTAGAGCATCTGTCACGGCTAACGTTAAATTCAAGCACGTTCACTACATAACATAAAGAAACCTGGTATGTCCCACATTGTCGAACAAGTTATAGAAAACAAATGCTACGTCATGTCAAACCATCTTTACTTAACTCTCTTCTGTAATTGCCATACTTTCTCTCGCGAAGGGTGTGGATGTGTTGATCACACATCTCATTGATTTTAATGAACATGCATCTTATATTTAAAGCACACGGTGACGTGTTTGAACATTTTAAAATAATTATTAGTGAATATTCATTATGCTTCTATGCTTAGTACGGATATTATTTTTTATTCTGTTTAACGTGTGTAGCAACGCGTTGCAAACTTTGTATATGGATCAGTTCGATGTTTCAAATACAAGTGTTTTAATTTATTGTACTTTTGATTTTGCCTGTCCACTGTTTGTTGCCAAAAAAAAGGACACAGACCTCGTCAGGCCGTTATGTGAATTTTGTCTCTGTTCCTGATATTTGTGCCATGTATAGATGCGAAATAAAGTTCAATTTCAATGTTTCCAATCTATGACTGTGCATGGCGTACATGTATCACGCTGACTTTTGGTTTGCCTTGACACCATGGGAAAAGTTTTGTTAGTGGTCAGGTCTATATTAATTCGTGTGCTGACAAGCCATCATAAGACAGCACATTACATGATGTTAATCCATTTGTAGGTGCCCCAATCACACCGGCATTTGTGAGCAACACTTATATGTGTTAGGTGCCAGACATGCCAATGGTTGGTGTGTTTTGTCTTTTTCATCACTATCTCTAATAATAATCAACGCAATGATATTATAGCAGATTTTAAAGGATTGAAATGCTGATGTTTTTTTTAAGCGTGTGCACAAGTCTGCATATACAGGCACTCCTATCTCGTTAGAAAAGATTGCTTGCTGCACACAAACAAAACAAAACAATGTTCAAGGGAAAACGAGGATACATTTTGTACAGGGAAGAGTGTGGCTTCGAAATGTTGGTCACATACGCATAAAGATTTCGCGTAGAGAAGCAAGCCAGGCAGTTCAACTTGAGCACTTTCTTTTGTATACAGGAGTCCGTTAGGCTGGAATACAGGCTCAATAATGATCCTTATGCACAAGTGGCGTTGCAAGTATAGTGAAGTAGATCCTCCGTGACCAGTCACAACGTGGTTTATTTCGACGTTTCAGCCACAGTTTGGTCTTCATCAGGACTGAGGGTACAGTTTGTTAGTGCTCAGCTTTATACAATCTTAAATCAGAGGGGAGGAGAGAGAAACAGAAAAAAAGAAATAAAATAAAATAAAAACAAAAAAGGAGAAAAAAGAAGGTGGGCTCCCCCGGGCGCTCCCTTTCACTCTTACTCCCCTTTCTCGTCTCTCCCTTTTCCCCTTTTCACCTTTAGGATGTGTGTGGTCTGTGTATCCTTCCTTTCACTAACGCATTGTTCCCGACCAGACGGCGCCTCCTGGCTCTGGCGGTTCGGTGTGGGGGGAAAAGCTTTGTTAAAAAGTTTAAGCCTTTAACTACTCAGCGCCAGCGCCTCGTCGACATCTTGCCATTGAAAGAGGGGCGCCGCGTATTGCTGCAGAGGCTGGCAAGCGGGTGCAATGTCAATTCTTGCCCGCTTCTGGATTACGCGTGCAGCAGGGGCCTCCCGATTGTGCACAGTGTTGCTGTAGGGCATGTCATGCTTGGCACAATTGATTGGATAGTAAGGTATGAACAGAAACAGACGACAGCTGTACTTAGGAAGAGTAGTTACACTTGGAATCATTTTGAGTTGTCCAGTGCGCTTCGCAGCTGCAGCGCCGTGAACTCAGTTATTATTTTCATTATTGCCGTTATTGTTTTCTAATGCTTTAATTGCTGCAAGTGTACCCGGATTCTCATTTATTCCTCTATCGAGGGTGTTGAATCAGTGCATAAGGTATGACTCTGGTTGTTCACGTTCTCGGTTTGATTTAAATCCCGTTTCTAAAAGTGTTACTGATAGTTTATCGAATGCGTGGTAGAAAAGATTGAGATGTTTTGATAGAGGCAGATTTGGGGCTGTTTTCGCAAGGGCTCTGTGAATATTGAAGTGAATCCTAATTGGTGTTTCTGTTTGTTCGATGTACTGCATACTGCACATGTTGCATTCGAGTAGGTATACCACATTAGAGGAATCGCTTGTTAGGTTTCCTCGTATGTTAATCGAAAACTTGGACTTTGTGCTGGTTGCTTTGTGCGTTTCTCGCATTGCTTTACACACTAGACATCGTGACTTTAAACAAGATCGGCATGAATTATTAGGGGCTGAGGTATTGATTTAAGAGTGGAAAAGTGTGTCTTTGAGATTGTTAGTCATCGGTAAACGACGCCAGGAGCGGGTGGGAATGCACGTTTCAGACGTTCACTTTGTTACAGAATGTTGTAATGTCGTTTAAGGATTTTGTTTACATCGGGGAAATTTGTGCTGTAAGTTAAGCAGAGGTTTGTTCGTTGTGGGTCTTCTTGCGGTGGTCGATTCATAAGTGAGTCATCACGCTTGTTTTCTCACTTGTTCAACGGCGTCATCAATTACATGTGGGGGGTATTTCGTTCATCGAGCATAAGTTTTAGCCTCTGTGAGCTCGTGTCAAAATCAGCGTCTCTAAAGCAGATTCGCTTAAACCGCTGAGCCTGGTTGTATGGAATACTGTTTTCACAGTGGCGTGGGTGATCGCTTTGGTAATAGAGGTATTGTTGTCAATCCGTTAGTTTGCGATATATGGTTGTAGAAAGCTTGCCTTCTTCTATCGTTATGGTAACATCAAGAAAATTTACGGTTGCTTGCGAGTAGGCCAGTGTGAAGTGTATGTTCGGATGTACAGCATTGTAAGCGTCGATAAAGCTGAGAAGTTCATCCTCGCTGTGGGTCCAAATAAGCAAGATGTCGTCTATGTATCTTCTGTATAACAGTGGTTTCACAGAACCTTGTGTAAGAAATTCCGATTCTTGCTTTCCCATAAATATGTTGGCATATTGGGTGCCATTTTGGTGCCAATAGCAGTCCCACTGATTTGTCGAAAATACTCTTGGATAAATTCGAATGAATTTAATTCGAGGACCATCCTCGTCAAAGTTGCGATGGCAGAGAAATATATATATATATATATATATATATATATATATATATATATATATATATATATATATATATATATATATATATATATATATATATATATATATATATATATATATGTATATATATATATGTATGTACATACATATATATATATATATATATATATATATATATATATATATATATATATATATATATATATATATATATATATATATATATATTTATATAAGTACGAAAGTTTCCATATTTGAGTACGACTTCAAATGGAAATGTTCCCTACGCTCGTCATAAGTGCATGCAAGGCGCTTGCAAACATGAACACATGAACATAGAACGACACAACACAAATACTTGTAAGCATTTGTGTTGTCTTATAAAATGTCTTACATTCTGTTGTGATCAATCTTTATGGACAAGTTCAACTTTCTGTCTTTACAAAATTTGTGCAGGTTCTACTGTCTGATTCTGCTGACTGTCTGGTCTCTCTTTGAAGCAGTGAAAAATAAAACGTTGTTGAAAGTAAAATGCCTTCTATAGTGCAACTGGCGGAAGCAAAAGCAAAATATTACGTCCTAATAATTTTAAGCTTGTAGTTACCTGCTTTTTTTTCTTATTTTCAGTCAAAGCGTTTGATTCAGCTCTTGCGATACGCGCTGTGGCCGTCTGTTATACAGGTACTGCAATCGCTTGAGGGTACGACTTACATAACATCCCTAGCACCATGCATATTTTCTGAGATCATGCGTCGCCTTCTGGTACATACGTTGTGATCCTAACTGAATATTTTGAATTACAGCAGACATGTAAACCTGGCCGAATAGGTTGATTTTGTGCTAGCGCATACTCAGTGCAGACAAAAACTTGTTTACAACCTGCGAATGAAGTGGGCATCACCACTAAAATTAATTTAGACCGTTTTGTCGAGTGCAGCCCATTGTATAAGGCTTACTAATCTGTTGAGCATTTTCATGTTGCTATAAGATGCTCATACTTCTGTTTAACGTTTTCCTCTGCCCTTCTGCATAGTTATATTGCGCTTGAATTGATATTTCAACATAGTTCTCTGTAGGCATGCTTACCAATTATTGAAGTGAAATCGTGACAGTAGTGCAAGAAAGGAAAGTGATTTCAGGGTGCGAATTAGAAAGAAAAGGTTCAGAGAAGGGGAACACCGCGTGTGTCACCAGTAACCACACTGAATATCATCTGTGAGCTAGTGCCCACGGACTGAGTGACAAACGTCTTTCCTACCTGAGTTGACGTAAGCTTCAGGGCATTCGCCAAGTGGTCCCTTTCCGGTGCCGATAGGTACTTTTGCTGCTTAAAGCGCCTCTCCAGCTCGTACACCTGCGACTGCGAGAAGAGCACCCGCGGCTTCTTTCTCTTGCGTGGCCGGCCACTGTTCTCCCGGATGACATTGGATTCTGCATTATCGACAACATCATGAAGACCTTCTATTTTTGTAGAGCTAAACAAAACTTGGAACATTCGCGGCATTTAAGTGTCCGTTATGAAGACGTTACGAGTATTTTGACTGCGCTGTGCGTCTAGCCGCAAGTTATATATGTGACGCTATGATTAATGAGCGACGTGGCCTGGCTCATACGCCAGAAACATGGCTCATACGCCATGTTTCTCGGCTTCTAATTCTAACTCCTAACCATCACTACCTTTGTATACGTTACAGGATTCCCCCTCCCCCCGGAAGAAGTCGCGTCAGACACTTAACAAAACAACAAAAATGGTGTTAAAGCGAGCGAAAAATGTCAAAATGCATCATAGTTCCATTTCAGAAGGGCTTTCCTTAACTCGCACAAAAAATCTGCAGCAGAGGGAAGCAATCCAGCCATATCTAAGAGAACTCGGGTGGACGAGGCTAGCTGTTGCGTCCTGAATGGCATAACCACGCCTTGGAGATCTGCACTAGTGATGACATCGGTTAAGTTCTTGTGAGGAACGGGTAAGGTTGGGAGTCCCTGTAGCATTTAAGGTTCGAATGTCGAAGGCATCGAATTGTGTGTCGTGGTGGGAACAGACGGTGTGCTTCCAGTTTGCGAGTGCGATGGTCGCGGCTGACGGAACGGTGTCTTGGTCTCTGCGTTCTACAGATGATGTCTTTTCGTCTCTTTCGTCGTTTTCTGTGGTTTCGGAGCTGTAATCGTAGGCGCAGCCTTGATCTCTTGTGCAAAACGCATTTGTGGCGCCGATAGTTTATGCGTATATGCCTCACGTCTTGAGTTTGCTTTAAGAGGCTCGCTTTGCGTCGTCGTCCTTGTTGCCGTATCTGTTGGAGTGTCTTGAATTCCTGGGCTAGCTTTTGCTGGCGTTGCTGCGGTTGTACTGGAATGTGCTGAGGTGGTAGCACTTCTTGAACATCATGCCGGTTTTCTTTACAAATTGATGTAGTGTCCAGTTGGCAGCTGGTAGTCTGTGGGCTGTTGTAACGCTTTTCAGGCAGTAAAGTTGGTAGGACAGATTTGAGTGGAGGAACATCAGAGGCGCCTGCGACAGAATTCATTACGTAGGCTTCTGGCACCTGGCAACCTGTAAGAGTTGCTTCTGAGCCTCCTGTGTTTGGGTTTTCAGATGGCTGTGCTCTCACTGGCACCACAGCAATAGGCGTGGTTGGGTCAGATTCTAGATGGGAATGACTGTCTTTCTGTGCAACGAATGATGCGAGCTCATCTCGCGCATGAAACTGAACTGTAAGTCCCAGGCTTGACTGAGTATCCTCCGAGCTTCTCTGCTCTATTCCGACCATAGTGAACGTGTGAGACATGAGGTGCGCGTTGTGAGCGACCGAAGATCCACGTGATGGAAAAGCAGGAGGTTGGTAAATGCTTGAAGGCTGCTTTTGACTGTGATGGTCGAGTGCGGTTGTCTGTGGATAGTGGGTTATAAGCAAGCCTTCGTCGTAGTCGTCGTTGTATTCTTTGAACTAAACAATCATTTCTTTTTTGATCTTTTCCCATGACTCGTCGTTTTAAAATATGTGGGTGAGGTAGAATTTGAAGGCCTCACCGGAGACGTAGTCGGTAAAGTTGATGATCATCTCCCGTTCCGACCATGATGCAGTGGTAGCGTGGAGCTCGAACAGGTCGAACCAATCTTGTATGGGTCCATCGTCCGCTGCTCCGGTGTACTTGGGGATGGGAAGTTCAGTAGATGCTTCTGACATGATGCTGGTCGATGCGTAATGCTGGGCGCTTGTACGGTAGTCCATGTATTTTCAGGCTGTCATGCGGAGAACTGCGTATATTATGAGCGACTGATGAAGGGGCAGACAGGTCTCCTTCCTGTCGACTTGTGTGATGCTATGATGAGTGAGCGACGTGGCCTGGCTCATACGCCATGTTTTTTCCATCTCACTTCTTCTTTCTCGGCTTCTACTTCTAACTCCTAACCATCGCTACCTTCTTACGTTACATATATATGTCAGTATATTAGATAAGTCAGTGATTCGGAATTGATGCATGTTGTAAAAAATCAGCGCGAACAAGATGAAACAAGACGGTTAGACAGAACTTTTACTGTGTCCTTCTATTCTTGTGCTCCATCTTGTTCGTGCTGATTTTTACATGTATTTATTGCATGTGTGTGTAGGGTTGGATTCATCATTGCATTCACATCAGGAGCGGTTGCAGGGTGGAAAGGGTAGGGGGGCACCCTACAGCATTTTGTCACCCACCCTGCCCTCTTTTCTTCCCGAGAAAGCGTGGTCAAAACAAAACGTTAAGTTTTCTCCTCCCTGCAGCCATTCCTACACAAGAATTTAGCGAGCAGCGACCACCATCCACATACTAGTTCACTTGTTCAAGGAAGGAAGCGTAACTTTGAGTCGTTTTTGTTGAGGTAGCATTTATATGGACCCTCTCAGGTGAATTTTGCCACCGGCGTCGGCGTCGACCTAACCGTCATTCACTGTGTATGTATACATATCTATATATGTGAAAACGCAAGAAAGAAAAATAATACAAAAAAAGACTCCGACGTGCGGAACCGAAAGTCGGACCTCTGAATTGCGAGTGCGAGGAGTTAGGCACTGAGCCACGAAGGAGCACCTCATTCAACGTTCAAACGGCAAGCTATTTATATCGACCACTTACTATTAAACTTTGCATTAAAACTTAGTGCCACCATGTGCTTAAAAATTGAGATTGGTGCAAGAATGGGCGAAATACTTTGCAAGTACGTTACTGCTGGTGATGGGCATCTTTGATTGATTGATTTGTGGGGTTTAACGTCCCAACACCACGATCTGATTATGAGAGATGCCGTAGTGGAGGGCTCCGGAAATTTCGACCACCTGGGGTTCTTTAACGTGCACCGATATCTGAGCACACGGGCCTACAACACTTCCGCCTCCATCGGAAATGCAACCGTCGCAGCCGAGATTCGATCCCGCGACCTGCGGGCCAGCAGCCGAGTACCTTAGCCATTAGACCACCATGGCGGGGTGGTGATAGGCATCTTGGGGGAAAGTATCGTGTTTTAAGCATTACCAGAAAGATGGCGCGATGCACGCGCGTCGCCACAACGTCACGACGCGGTGGCGCGCGCTCTCATCTTCCACGTGCACGCTTGCTTATTTCGCAGTGGGATCAATCGTACGCCTTGGGATCTCACCGGAACAATTCTGTTGTAGTTACCGGGCGCACAAAGATCAGTGCAATCGTTGCACAGGCTCCGTTTGCGAAAAGGGCGCGCTTTTCATACCGAGCGAAGTAACAAATGAGACGCTTATTGGCGTTAATCTGTACCTGTACGTTTCGTTCGTCGTTTGTGCATAAAAAACGTGGGGCATGTTTCGGTTTGCTTGCCAGTATGCGCGTAACTTGCTATTGCGTTCATTGGTTCACCTTAGCGGCAAAGCTGTCAGCTTTTTTATTTGTTAGTCACGATAATAATGAGCATTAAGTTCTCAGTAATATTCGCTAGTTCAAACGACTTCGAGGTTCGAGTACCGCCAGTGACACCTGTACACGGCATGCTGTTTTGTCATTTCACAAGCAGCTCGTAAGGACAGACAGAATTTAGCAGCAATGACAAGGCAGTAGTACGTTGAGTTTTTTACGGACAACTTGATGTCGGTTAGATTTCAACACTGTCTCAAAGAACTATGCTAAACTCATGTAAGACTATGGCACTTATGCAACAATTGCCAAAACCACTATGCAGCAGCCATGAGGTGGCACTGGCGTATCTGAAAACATGGAGGAAGAAAAAGAAAGAAGGGCGTGATTCCCTCTATTTATTTACTCGTTTCTCAGCCAATTCCCCAAAGTGCGTGTGAGCCATGCATTTAGGCCGCCATCATCATGATCATCAGCAGCAGCAGCCGCAGCAGCACAACGTCATGTTGCCAGCCTTTGCAAGTGAACCTGTTTTGAAGCAAGCAGGGTCAGCCCAACACATGACCTTTTGCATCAAAATCACGCAAGTGACAAGAGTGGCCTAGACTTCAGAGTGTGACACCCGGTAGCTTTTACTTGACACACGCTTGTTCGGTGCAGACCAGCCGGATCACGTTGAAAGTTCAGAAAGGCAACACCACCGAGAGTACTAAAACCTAGCGCTCGGTGTGACGTTTTGCTCACATATTGGGCCGACATGGTGGGCTTCACTTGGGTGGCCTAATGCTCCCTTTCTTTCTTTTTTCTTGCTCTACGTCTCAGAAGGGCAGGAATGCATAAGGCTAGACAGATAAGTTAACCAAAAAAGTACGGCTTCATACCGTACAGTGGGGTACAATAGGGAAAAAGATTTAAAGAGAAAGAAAGGAAGAAAGATCGGTTATAGAAACACAAATCAGAGCTTAAAGTATGCAGTTCGTCACTATCGCACCCATCTTGAAGGACCGTATTTTGTCCGAAGTCATGCAGTGCGCGGAAGGCTTTGTTGTTTCTCTGCATGCATGTCTTCAACTTGCGCATTCCGGATCATACTCAATTGGGCTGAACACAGCGCCATACAATCAGGTATCGGTAAATCACACAATTTGTGTAAAATTCTTTTATATTAGATCATGGTTGCGAAATTTCCGAATGCCATATGAAAGAATTGCCCTGATGATTAAACTCAAGACATGTTTCATGGGCAATATTTCAGTTAGGGACAGTTGTGTTCAGAGTTGCCGTTAGGTGGACTTGAAAAGGCGCCAGAACTAAAGCTAAAAGAACTCAAGCCTATTTTTTCAATACCACCTTGAAACTATAAACGCTTGAACTCACAACATGACATTCAAGGAGTGGAACTTAAGATTATCTTTAAGGTAATGCAAAATTTTTGCAGGTGGCCTTTATGGTATGCAGCCTAAAAATATACGTAAACAGTTGCTGCGCCCTTGTTAAAAAGGGAAAATTTAAAATGGTTTAACTTTTTAAAACAGCCTGCTCTTTGTAGGCTGTTCTCATTTCGAAGGAAA